CACTCCCAAACCCTCTCCCAACCCATCATGACCACCTCCACCATCCCCACCATTCGTCCCACCTATTCCCAAGTCACCTCCGGGGTTTACCCCGCAATGCCACAACTTCCCCCCAACTACCTCCTTGAGGACAACAACCAAATCGACCACACCTGCTACGACACCACCCCCGATAACCTCAGCTTCAACACCCTCGCGCAGATCGTTCACCGCGACGGGGAAATCCCCCGTTCCTTCCGATCTGGTGAAATCATGTCCTTCTCCGACCTCCCCCATGAGGACGTTTTCCTCTTCCTAACCCAGCTTCAGAACTCTTTTCAACTCCACCACATGCCCCTTGCCCACTGGCTCCCCATTGCCACCTTCCGCCCCCAGAAAACCATTGACGACTACCTTGAACAATTCTGGCACCTCCGCCAGACCGGTCCCACGGACCGCTTCGTCCAATACGTTCGCTCCCTCCGACACCACCTCCCCCACACCGTCATTCCCGACTGTGCGTTCATCTCCCGCATTAAACGAGTATGCCACAAAGACCGTGCAACCGCCCTCGCCCACGAACCCGACATGCCCCTTGCTGACCTCCTCTCTCGCATGCTTCACACGATCGACTCCTCCACCCCCACCACCAGCCCCCGCCCGACACCTCCCGCACCCGCTTTTTCCACCACATCACCCCCGAAGACACCACCTCCATCACTTCCTCAGACGAGTTCACCACATCTGACCCCGACGCATCTTTCGATTCACTCGACTCTTCATCCCTCACTTCCGAGGAACTCGATGTCGTCCAGTTGATGAGAATGGAGCGCAGAGATCGCAGCTCCCGACCACCCTCATCTACCCCACCCTCCCGCCTCAAGAAACTCACCCTCGAGGAGCGCACCTACCTCCAAGCAAAAGGGGGTTGCTTCCGTTGTCGCCGATTGGGGCACCAACAAACCAACTGCCCCAACGCCGCACGATTCACCCGYCAGTCCGCCTCCACGCGACCCGCAATCTCCGCATCACCGCCCTCGGCAAGCGCGGGCCCCTGCTTATCATGAACACAATCCCCAGGACAGTGACCCGACATCAACATCGCATCTGTCGGCCTACCCATCGGTGACATCCTTCGTCCCACTGATGGCCCATCTAACATCGACAATTCGTTTGCCTTCCCCCTCTCCGGCGACGCCCCCTCCACCGGACGATTCCCAGGTGTCGCAAACRCCTCCCACTGCCTCATGCTCCTCTACCCTTCCTCCAAATCCATCCACTATCACCTTCTCCGATGTTGTTGAGGAACAAGCCCGACACGATCGGCTTGTCCGCTTAGGCAACGAACAACGCTGCCTCAACACCATCATCATCTCCACCGCCAACTCATCTCGTTTCCACCTCAAATTCATCGCTGCCACCCTTGGTGCGTCTACAACTAAGTTTCGGGCCCTCCTCGACATTGGAGCCACCGGTAACTTCATCACCTACGCGTGTGTCCGCAAAGCCGGTCTTACCTCTACCGGTTACGACTCCCCGATCACGATTCGCCTAGGGGACAAAGACACCGCCGTCGTAGTAGACCGCACCGTTCCCGAGACCATCATGACCGTCAGAACCCTCCGCAGTCAGGTCTCGTTTGATGTCATGCACTTGATGTGCGACRTCGTCTTAGGAACCCCGTGGCTGGACCGCTACATGTCATACGCATTCCACCCCAACTTCCTTCGCCTCACCAACCCCCCCGACACAACCATTGACATCCCCTATCTCCCATATCCGACCTCCCAAGGCTCTGTCWCCCCGCACCAATTCCTCCACATGGCTCGCCTAARCCCCGACTCCGCCTACTACTGTCTTGTCCTTGATCGCGAAAGTCCCAAGGACTTACTYCCRACRRACAAACCCGATCAAGCCCCGCCCTCCAACCCCGCYATCACTTCAATCCTCGACGAGTTCAGGGACGTCTTTCCCGAGTCCTTACCCGCCGGACTACCTCCGGATCGTGGCGTATCGCATACCATCGATTTGGAACCCRGACATTCTCYACCTTGCCGCCCTMMATACCAACTCTCTGTCCCCGAAGCCGAAGAAATGAAACGGCAACTCGGTGAACTCCTTGAAAAAGGGTTCATTAAGCCAAGTTCATCCCCCTTCGGAACCAGCTGCCTTTTCGTCAAGAAAGGTGGAACTTCGGAACTCCGCATGTGCACAGACTACCGCGCCTTGAACCGGATCACGATCAAGAACAAGTACCCCCTACCTCGGATTTCCGAGCTCCTTGATCGTGTGGAGCTAAGTACTTTACCAAGATCGACCTTCGCAGTGGCTTCCACAAGATCCGTATCCGCGAGGAGGACACCCACAAGACCGCCTTCCGCTCTCGGTTCGGGCACTACGAGTTTCTCGTGATGCCGTTCGGACTCACCAATGCCCCCGCTACCTTCCAATCTACCATGAACCACATCTTCCGCAACCTCCTCGAAGTCTGTGTCGTCGTCTACCTTGATGACATCCTTGYCTTCAGCCCCACCTTCGAGTCCCACCTTCAGCACCTCCGCCAAGTTCTCTCGATCCTCCACGAGCAAAAATTCTACGCCAAGCTCAGCAAATGTACGTTTGCCGCTTCGAGCGTCGAATACCTCGGCCATATTGTCTCCGCTGAAGGCATCCGTATGGACCCCTCGAAGGTCACAACCCTCGTCGAGTACCCCCCACCCAAGACCCTCCTCCAACTCCGTTCCTTCCTTGGCCTTGCCAACTATTACCGCCCGTTTATTCGCAACTTTTTCGAGATCTCTTACCCTCTCCACGAACTCACTCGCAAGGACGAGCCTTTCCATTGGAACGATCGCCGCCAACACGCTTTCGACTTGCTCGAGCAAACCATCACCACGGCCCCTGTCCTCAAGATCGCGGACCCCACTCGCCATTTCTATGTCACCACTGACGCCTCCGACTTCGCCATCGGAGCCGTACTGTCCCAACATTTCCCCTGCGACACCGTCGAGACCCCCTTCATCAAGGACTCGCCCACCCACCCCGAGGCTCCACCTGGCGAATACCCCATCGCCTTCGCAAGCAAGAAGCTCCTTCCCGCGGAGATGAATTACCCCTCCAACGAGAAGGAACTCCTCGCCGTGATTCACGCCCTCACAGTCTGGCACCCGTACCTCGACGGGCAATACTTCACCATCCGCACTGACAACACCATCGTCTCCTCCATCCTCTCCAAGAAAGATACCACTCCACGCCAAGCCCGCTGGCTAGACTTCCTTGCCCAGTTCACATTCACCATTTGCCATACCCCCGGCAAAAGCAACCGCGTTGCGGATGCCCTCTCGCGACGACCCGACCACAAGCCCCCCGAGAAACTCTACGCCGCCATGACTCATATTCAACTCCTTCCATCACTTCATCATCGATACACCCAAGGCTAACTCTCCTGCTCAGACTTCGCCACCATTTACAACAAACTCCGCGATCTTGACACAGTTCCGGACTACTCCCTCCACAACAATCTCCTCTACATCGATACCAAAGGCACTCGCCGACTTTGCATCCCCGACGCACGAGGCCTCCGTACTCAGCTCTTGGCCGAGCACCACGACGCCAAGACCGCAGGACATCTCGGTTTCCAGAAAACCTTCGACACCATCTCCCGCTACTTCTACTGGCCTTCCCTACTTGCCGACATTAAGGCATACATTCGTGCATGCCCCACGTGTCAAGCTGTCAACCCCTCGAACCGGGCCAAACCCGGCAAGCTCCAATCATTGCCCATCCCAACTCACCGGTGGCAGTCCATCTCCATGGACTTCGTGTGCGGCCTCCCCAAGACCGACCGCGGGCATGATTGCATCTACGTCATTGTCTGYCGCTTGACCAAACGTGCCCACTTCGTCCCTTRCACGACYTCGCACAGTGCCAAAGACGTCGCCACACTCTTCTTCGACCATGTTGCTCGCCATCACGGCCTCCCCGAGAACATCATCAGTGACCGTGATCCTCGCTTCCTCTCACAATTCTGGAAACATCTCTTCACGGTCTACGGAACCACACTCAAGTATAGCACTGCATTCCACCCACAGACCGATGGACAAACAGAGAAGATGAACGATACACTCCAAAGAGTCCTGCGAAAGTACTGTCATCCACACCAACACGATTGGGATCAGTTGCTCACAACTGCGGAGATTGCCTACAACAACGTTGTCTGCCCCTCCACTGGCATGTCCCCTTTCTACCTCGACCTTGGCTACCATCCCCGCTTGCCCTCGGATTTCTTGCTCCCCTCGCAGCTCAGCCCCTCCACCCCTTGCCCCTCTCTCAATGAATGGGTAGCAACAATGAACAGACTCCTCAGAGAAGCAACCAAAGCCCTTGAAAGAACACAAGAACAACAAGCCAACAAGACTAACAAACACAGACGTGACATGTCATTCAAAGTAGGGGACAAAGTCTGGCTTTCTGCCAAACGCTTTGAACCCGAACAGGGTTTGTCCAAGAAACTCTCGAACAAGTGGCTCGGTCCCTTCCCCATCATTGAACAAACCTCCCCCGTCAATTACAAACTCCAACTTCCCCCTGACATGAGTCGTGTCCACCCAGTCTTCCATGTCGAGTACCTAAAAGAACACCACGAATCTCTGCTCCAGTTCGCCGGCCACCAATATCCTAGACCTCCACCAATCATGCTACCCTCAGACCCTGAATTCGTTGTCGAAACCATCATCGGTCGACGAACCACTCAGGTATCTGATCATCCGGAACCAATCACTGAATACAAAGTCAAATGGACCGGATACCCCGACGAAGAATCTACATGGGAACCTTTCTCTAATCTTAAGAACGCCATGAAACTTGTCCGCGCCTATGATCGCGCTAATCCTACGTCCTAGATACCTATATCACTATGGCATAAACCCCCGCTAAACCCTTGCAACCCTGCTCTACACACACCCTTGAACCCAGTCCACCCTTCCCTTGATCCTCATTCCTGATGTCTGATCTGCCCTTGCCCTCGCCTAGCCTTGTCCCATCCGTCCTCTCTACCTTGTCTCTCTTGTCCAATGCTTGTGAACTTGCGTGACGCCGGCGATAAAGGATCTAATGGCAAGCGCACAAGGACGATGGCCTGCTGCCTCATTGTTCATGGAGATTATGCAGCTGGTTTGACCACCATGCTGTTTCATTGGCCGGCATCCCGACTCGCGGACTTACTGGAGCAACAACTTGTGACATGGATCTTTGCATCAGTCTGCGACTTCCTTGCTTCCAGATCAGACCTCATAGCAGTTCGTGTACCGGACGCACCCTAGCACTTGGACTTTGACACTTGAACTACTACTACGCTTCTTGGACTTCTACCTATCGCAGCTGCTGAAGACCGCTTCTACCACCTACTCCAAAGACCTGATCAAGACCGCTGTAGACCCCCTTTCAAGACAGTTGGACACTTCATTCCTACATGAGATTCTGCTTCCGACCACACCAGCCTTGGCATCCTGAACAAACATTTTCATCTTTATTTTTCCTAACTTTGACAACCCTGTAGAACATCATTAGCAGATCCATGTTGCCCTAACCATTGTTCCCCGTACCCACTAGAACATCAATAGACATCCCTTGTTCCCCTGACCATTGTTTCCCTTACCCACTAGAACATCAATAGACATCCCTTGTTCCTCTGACCATTGTTTCCCTTACCCAGTAGAACATCAATAGAATACCCTGTTCCTTGCAACCCCCCCTAGTTCATCAGTAGGACAACTCTGTTCACCGGTACCAAACCCTGTTCCCTCTTACTCCCGCAGCCCATGCCACCCACATTATACCCCTCTTCCCTTTCGACCTGTTAACCAGTGATCGGCCTTGTCCCGTCCTTCACAGATTTCAGCATTGCTTCATGATTTTTGGCAGCCGGGACGTTGCCTTCTAGAGGGAGGGGATAGTGTTACGGACTTCGCCAGGGCTCGATCCCTGGTCTATCTTTTTGCTGCTTCGGCTGCATCCCGTTTTCGGCCTGACACCCTTTTTCCAAACCCCTCCTTTGGTACCGTAGGATTTTGGACAAATGGCGCCATGCTGCAATTCAGGCGCCACTTTCAAATACTGCATTTTTCGGTTCTGCCCTCGGGGCCTTTCCAGAAATGCCCCTTGTACCGTACGTGTCACCGGTACTTATACCGGCTCCCCGTACGGTACGGGGACCAGTCTCGTACTAGTTTTCTGCTGCTGTACTCGTTCTGACTTGCTCCTGTTCGGCATTCGCAATCCAAGACTTCGACTTTGTGTCCTCCTCAGTCGTGTCGAGTGAGTGAGTGTGTGTGTGTGCTCTCCCTCTCTCCCTCTCTCCTCTCCCTCGGCTCTCCCTGTCTCCCTCAGCCTCCCGCTCGTTACACTCCTCCTTCGGCTTAGAAAATGAACAATGCTGGTGTCCGATTTGCAGTCGTTTGATGAAGCAAACATGATGATGCTGAGGATGGGAGAGGGTTTGACGGCTGCAATGATGTTGGATTAGCATTTATTTGGAGCGGGGGAGGAGGAAGGATCATCAACTCGTCTCCCCGCGTCCTCCTTCCCCTCTATTTCATTGTAACTGATGATGCTTTGCCGTTGCTCCTTGCTTGATGACCCAAGCATGAGGAGGCATAGGAGGAGAGAGGGGTTGATGACAGGAATGAACGTTTGTGAGGAGGGGAAGGAGAGGAGAAGGGGAGAGGGTTTCACAGCACCACTCTCATTCTTTGTTTATTTGAGCGATGAAGGGGCAACGGCCACCATCACTGCCTCTCCCCTCTTCCTCCTCCCTCTCCCTCTTTCTTTTCTTTTCTGCAATTGATGCTGCATTCACATTCGTCGTCGTATGATGAACCGAGTATGAGGTGGAGGAAGCAAAGGAGGAGGGTAGCACATGCGACTGTTTGTTGACATTTCTTCTACTTTATCTACACGACAAGTAAAATTGATGTGAAAATAGCATACTTGCAGCGCATCCCGTGAGTGGGGTCACGGCACATGTGACGCAGAGCGCACGCGCATGCATGCGCGATCACGTGATGCGGCGCAAAAAATTAAAATAAAACCGAAAGGACAGGGTGGGGTGGCCAAACATGACCCTCGCTTCTAAATCAGAAAGCAAGAGGGAAAAAAGACGGGGCCACGCCATACCCCGAAACTGTGGGCACATGTATGTGCGTGTGGGTGTGCATGTCCTAATTGTGTCCAGTCTCTTTTCCGAAGCGGCCAGCACGCAGGGGCTGACAGAGGTCTGGACTATCGAGGTCTGCTGGAGGCGAGAGAAGTTGGTGCCCTGCTGGACCCTCCTCCGGAGTGGGGTTCCAGGGTGGTGACGCTACAGCCATAGCTGCAGCTTCTTCCTCAGAGGTCATCTTGTCAGGGTTTGGTGGTGCTGCTGCAGACTTCCACCCGGGAAGTCTTTCGACACTTCCTCATCATCAGATATTGTGACGCTGGTCTTCTTCTTCATCCTCTGAGTGGCGCTTGGCCTCAGAGGCCTGTTTCAGGGTGGAGCTTCCCTTTGGAGGCTGTATCAGGGTGGTGCTTGATGCTTCAGGGCTAAAGGGAGTTACGGGTGGTTACTCAGGGTTGGGGAGTGAAGCGCTGCTCATTGGAGTGAAGCGCTGCTCATTTCTGAGCAGCGCACTGTAGTACTGAAGTTATTCTGACAATTCGAGACTCTGAGTTTAATAAACAGTGTGTAACTGGGTTTGGACTATCATCATTTCATTGTTTCCTGGATGTGATCTGCTCGGCTTTTCTTTATGACTGGTTGTGAGGATTGAGTGGAGTGAATT